TCTAATCTGAGGAGGAAAATATTGGCAGAAGAACTGAGAACCAGAATTGTCCTTCCTGCAAGGTAAATAGTAAAGCTTCATGGTGCTTCACATTTCCCAGTAATGGGATTGGTGGGAGTGTATACTTTAAACAGCTTGAGCCTCTTCAAAAACTGTTGTTGTGAAAGGTCACTGGAGGGAAATCTAGTCTTAGTTTGTGCTGGATCCAAACACATACACAGAGCAATAATCTCAGCATTACTATCAAATTGCGATGCCTCCCATCACAAATCTTGGGAAACTTTTTGTGGAGGCCGTTGCCAATGCTCATCCACTTAGTAGATGAACATCAATACAATGATGACATAAACCAGATACAGGACTTAAAATCCTACGTAAAACTGGGATGATAGCACATCTCCTTGTTTGCGTAATGCATTGTTGAGTCTGTAAAAAAATGCAGGAAATATTTAAATACCTTATTGCCCTCTATTGAGATACGAAGCCAGAATTCAGCTGACTTGGCTCATAAGATCTTGCTAAATATGATTGTGTAGAAAAGTTAAAATCTCACAACCAAAGACAATGAGAGGAATGTGTTCCCACTAATCATGAAAAGGATTTCACGTATTAAACAACTAAGTGAACTTATAGTTCTAAAGAAAGAAGAAAAGAGAGTTATTCTACTACTACTATTCAGGGGAAAAAAGTCTGTAATCTTAAATGTAGCCTTTAATACTTTATGCAAATGTACTTTCATTTAAAGAGCAACTACAGAAGTATTATGGGTGGTCTCCGAGAAGCACAGAGTATGCCTCTGTGAAAGGGTGGATAATGGAACTAAAAAAAATCCCATCTTCCTCCAGAACTGCTTTACATATAAACTTACAAATTTACATCCAGTACTAAGAAAAATTCTAACAATATTTCTCAAAATTAACTACCAGAAAATGTAACTATGTAACCCTGCTCTCCACACTGAAATATCTGTCTCATACCACAGGCATTACAGGAATGTAATGTCCTTCTTATGCATATCACTTTTATGAGCTGAACACCTGCTATCAAATTCATTTCTGGTCTTGAGATGATGAGATACATGCATATGTCTACATGAAAAGTATATAGGGAAGCACTTAAAATCACAAAAACAATTAAATTCCTTTCTGCTGTTGACTGCAAATCCTAGGAAACTAAGTAAATTTTTAGAAATCTATTAATAAGTGGACTTCTTATTCACCG